TGGTCTATTATAATTCCGAAATCGTGAGATGCGGTCTGGTGTGATGTAGGTTTCAGAAAAACATTTTCTTTATCGTGCCAACGATTTCGATCTTTAATGGCATCATCTTCAGGGCCTGGGATTTACAAACATTGTTTACATTTAACAAATACATTTAGGATATGGAAAAGTGAATTTATACAATGCAAAATATATTTTTTATATTCAATCAAAGTATTTCTACTCACTCAAAGTGTTTGTCTTCTGTGTAATTGTGCCATTCTTGCATGTCGTGCCGAGAGTGGCAGTGAGATTTTGCTGTTTTATGTTTATATACGTTGGATTTTGAAGAGGTGGGGAAGGAAATCGGTATAGAAAAGACTTTTGTATATAAGGCGTCGGCTACTTTGAGATGAAAAGAGCCGACGAAGGAAAAAAATGTGTTGGTAATGGTTCGGCCAGATTATCCTTTCAGGATTATATAGAAAAGTATAAATAGGAAAAGCAAAGCTAAATTGTTGGATAATTAGACTATCAAAAATATTTGATGTGTGGAATGTAATGTGATGATATATGTATGTTATCTATATTGAATTTGATTAATGATATTGCCATAGCTGCGACTGAGTTTACATGTATCTGTTCTGTAATTGGTGCTGTGTTTATCTCTGTTGATATAAACCATTTCTAAGAAGTATTTCTTTTCCACATTCTAAATGTATTTGTTAATTGTAAACAATGTTTGTAAATCCCTGGCCCTGAAGATGATCTCAATAAAGATCGAAACGTTGGTACGATAAAGAAAATGTTTTTCTGAAACCTACATCACACCAGACCGCATCTCACGATTTCTGAATAATTATCGATTAACGGTCACTAATCACCACACATTGTGGTCTATGTTAGTCAATCCCCAGTATTGACCATGTTAGTAAATGTACAATCTATATCTTTGCTTTCCATGTTGTTCAATGTGTAGTCCATATCGTTTTTGTCCATATTAGCCCAGATGTTGTACATGTGAGTCGGTCCTAAGTGGGGTTGCCCGTGTTAATCATTATATAGTCATTACCCATTAATATCACTGTCCATATTATTCATTGTATAGTCTATATGTTGTTGATGTCCATGGTAGTCAATATATAATCATTATTCATCAGTATCATTGTCCATACTGACCAAAAGTTTATATCAGACCATCTTTTGCTAAAATTAATCGTTTCAGAATTAAATGGGTGACTATGAAAGCTGTATAGCCTGTATAACCCCCATTGTTATTGATTATGTTAGTCAATGTACAGTCCCTAATATTGCTGTCATGTTAGACAATCTCCAAAGTCGTTGCCCATGTTAGTCAATATGATCATACTCCATACCGTAGTTTTTGATATTAGTCAATGTACAGTCCTCATCATTATCGATCACATTGCAGTCTTAAGTTGCGCGCAACCTCTTATGTTGAAATGGATTTTCCATTTAGACTGATTTAACGATTAGTAGATTTGCGTATGGTAAAGGGGACGTGGAAGGATTTGATTAATTTATTGTTTTCCAACAATTATTGTTAATCCTTTTCCAGAATCAAGGTGATTTAGGGAAATTGAGTAACATAGTTAAATATTATGACTAGCAAGGGAAGAATCGGGATGACTGTATACTGACAGACGGACTTACATATGTTAGGAAGATCAAACAAATCGTGAATAGAAGGGGCCGTAGGATGCTTTCTCAGAGGACGCCCTTTTTAAAGGAAATCCAAGGGCAATGTTTTTAAGCTATAAGTTAAAAGCTAAGTTATTAAAAACGAAGTATCTGAGTATTGTTGGACATCTCAGATATTCAAATTGCAACACTTAAAATGCACTTGTTGTAGTCACATTATTGTAGGTTTCTTTTACCTTCAACCTTTCGATAGCAATGAAATTCATGTTGTTTGTACCGTCTGAAAACCGGATGTTGCTAGTCAAAGTGTCTTACAGGGGATGAATGAAGATTTCCCTTTAATCCTCAACCCTTCGTATATTTAAATTCAATGCGGAAAGCGACTGCTCAAGTTAAAACAGGCCGGCTTTTTGATTAATCCGCGAAACGGGCCGGGTCAGAGAAACGAACTAATTACCCAGAGACGGAGGAGACTTGTTATTAAGAAGGATGAATCGTAAGGAAGGAGCCGGCGTGTTGCATGGGGAATGAGGCGAGCAACTTGGCTGACCGCGATACTGCACCCTCGGGACTACTCCCTGACTCAGGACTGCTCCCACCTAATTGAATCTTTTCTTAACTGCCAACTTCACTTGCCGCTTATTAATTTACAGCCTCTCGGGGCTTCCTTTCACGTTTTCAGAATTTCTCCATACAGTTGTCCGAGTTCGCGGAACTGTGTTTTTGTTCGAAGAGATGTTTTAATACCGTTGATACAATTTATGCAGCACGAATTACATTTCTATCGAAAATTAGACATTTATTGGTGACTAATCTATTCGGCCTATCTTCGCTCGATTTATCTGAAGTTTCTACACTGCGCCGTCTTCTTCAGTTAGATCCAACCTACACTGACTCACAACTTAACATCGCAACAGTACCTGGTCGTAACACATACACAGAACACACGATATCCATGCGTATATGTAACACTTCCGCTTCATCTGTCGGTTCTTGTTGAAAACATGTACAGTGCAACAGTTAGAAATTAAGTAGCTTGGATTCAAAAACGAAATGGGCGCTCTTTTGAGGGCTTTTTTTATTTAGTCAAAAGCATATAATTTTATACCCTCATCAATCCTAAGCCCTGGGTTTGCATTACACATACTGGGTCTCCGGTAGCTATGCCACTGTTGGTTACGTCCGTGCAGTGTGCAAGACAAAATTATGAATACTGTTCACACGGTAAATTCATAGAGTATATAGTTTAAACGGAGAAACATTAAATATGATTAAAAACTACAGCTCTGTAAGGCAGTCCCAGGCCGCAACTCCATCACCGCAATATGCCTTTGATGCGACTCGCCAATGTCACTCTAAGACAATGCGATGTTACGATGCAGATAAAGTTTAGCGTCTTAATATGACATGGGACGATGTTTCTTATTCTCTTTCATTCAAAACGCATTACCAACCAACCTAGGATGATCAGTTACAAGCCGGACGTTTCGTGTGTTTTTTCCTCATTGTGTCCTTATTGTAAGGTTTTCTAAAAGTTAAATGATTGGAATGCGAAACCTTTACTAAAACTAACAATAAAATAACTAAAACTGACGAATTGGCTAATTGCGTATGTCATATCAAAAAAGCAAGGGTAATATTCACAAAAAATTTAACAATGTTCATTAAAAATATCTTTAACTTAACTTTCACGGAAGAGGAAGGCATCTTTAACAAGTATATTATACAAAAACGTAGCGTACTATGCATATTCATGAATACATTCTGTGTGATATGCATAATACAGTAGTATACATACTATTTTCTGTATACTACTATAGTATGAATAGTAATATAGTAGCGTATGAATATATACTATGTAGTACACATTTTATAGTAGTATACATACTATTACATGTATACTACTATGTAAGATACATAATACAGTAAAATACATACTATTGTATTATTTATTACTACTATATTATGAATACTAATATAGTAGCGTATGAATGTGTACTATGTCGTATACATTCTATGATAGTATATATACTATTATATCTATACTACTACAGTAGCGTACTATGAATACAACTGTAGTAGCGCATGAATACATACTATGTAATATACATCATATAGTTGTATACATACTATTATCTATATACTATTAGCTATCTATAAATATTCTCGTAATTTTTTCTTCTGTCCTGCCTTATTGGTATACATTGTGCCAAGATTTGTATGTTTGTTTTTACTTTTAACTCCATAGAAGGAAATACCTTTATTTATTTCATGTAAATTATTCTTAGGGGACACCAGTCCCAGAATAAAGTTATTTTTCTTCTTCTTCTATATACTAGTATAGTAGCGTACGAATACATACTATGTAATATACATAATACAGTAGTTTACATACTATTATTTGTATACTACTATAGTGTGAATAGTAATATAGTAGCGTATAATAAATGTTATAGTTGTATACATTTATTATCTGTGTAATAGTATGGTAGCGTATGAATACATACGATGTAGTATACATACTGTAGTAGTATACTTAGTATTATATGTATACTACTATAGTAGCGTACTACGAATAATATTCTACTTTATGAGCTTAAATTTTGTAAAGTGTAATGATAATAATAATGTGGGAAGTTTATAACTTGAAAAACAGCTGACGTAATCGCTGGTCCTCTACGGGTTTTTATTCCTTTTTCTCCTCATTCACGTGTATTGTTCAGCCTGCAGCTATTTGACCGTCTCGTTCTGTTAGTGACTCTTTGCTTTTATATGAAAACTAAATCGATGTGCTAAACGCTAGCCTCACATTTCTAACTCAGGTTTTCAACTACAGAATAGATATAAAACATACTATATAGCATAGGTCACAGTCACTCCCCCAGAGTACTTCATATTTCTCGGACGAGGTTGAACCCACTACATTCTCGCTAATAAGATTAAATGCTATTTTATTTTATTACATCAGTGAAATTTGTTATGTTAAAACCACCGTGTTTTGTTAATATTTATTTAAAACATTATTTTATAAATTAGTTGAAGATAAAATAAATGTAATTCTTTCATCTAAGGTAAAAACTGTAATGTTGGAAATGGTTAGGGATGTTTTTAAGTAGAGCATTAACATAATGATGTTGACATAATGACATAATAAAAATAAAGACACTTACCGTCTATGTTTGGCTGGAGCGCTGACCATAGATACTCATTTTAATCATTCTTGAGGAAGATTTATATTTTTTTAAATGTATGTAATTTTATACGCCAAAGATGTGAAAGTGTAAAAAAGAAGGCAATATTTAGTTTTTTCATTTATTTTCTATAATAATACAATGTTGCTGTTGTCTATGTAGCCACAGCACAAAGAATATGTATTAAAAGACTTTAAGTACGTTAATGTATATTGCATCAACAAAATATGGTAACATCGTAAAGAACCGTAACATTATTCATTTTAGTTTTTTTTTTTTTTTTTTTTTTTATAAATATATTACACAAGCTCATCTCTTGTTTGAGCAGTTTCTACGAAACCAATAATAGAAAACAATATCACGATTTTGCAAGGAAAAGAAACTTTGGCACATTTACACGAACGTCTGCATAATCAAGCATCTCCCGTTTATTGCACTGATTCATCGAGACTCTGCCGTACCGCCACCTTCACGCCGAAGTCCTCCGTCGACTAGAAGAAAAGAGCGAGACTTCGCAGCACCCACAAATTATCACTTTAAAAACAATGCTAGAGATTGCTCAAAATTAGAAATTACTTTAACGATTAGATTTCAACTTTGTATCGTCGGACTTCTGCTCAAAATTGTTCTTAATATTTAATACGATTTACTTATTCCCATGAATCTATCTTATTTTGAATTTTAGAGTTAACAAGCAAAAATTGTTGATGATTTGTTACACAATGGATACGGGCAAATTGGTGTGAGGTATCGTTTTATTAGCTTGACACGATTTTTCAACTTGCACTTTGGTCAACTAATTAAAGCTAGATAAAATAAAATCTCATTCAGGAGTACGATAGCTGGATACAGTTTCACTTCGTGAACATCTAGTCTGGTTAATTCGCATCCGATACAAATATTTTGTTGAACCTGTGTAGTTGATGTTATCGTTTGATAAAAAAGTTAAGCGTTCGATACCATGATAAAAGGGTTTTTCGCGCGATATCGAAGGAATGAACTTGTGGGTGCTGCTTTTGCCGGCGAGGTAAATACTGATTAGTTTTAGAGGTGGAATCACCACCGAGTCGGCGAATCCGTTAAAGTTCGGGCGATTCTGCGAGACCGAGATATTGCACAGGTAAATCAGGACACGAATATCCTTGGTTGGCACTGGTACCGGGTAGGTCAGTAAGGCCTCCAGACGGCTGCGTGGTCGGAGCGTAGAGTGTCCTCCTGCCTGGGGGCAGGCGGCGCCGGTTCTGAGTGGTACAACTGTGAGTAGAGCAAGGATGGAAGGACTGGATAGTGAGCGCCCCCAGAGCCGTACTGGGGTTGGAAGGACATCTCCTCCGAGCCAGGTGACTCGCCCGAATCGGACCTGGCCCCGCCGGTGAACTCGGTCTGCCCGTACCTCGGCTGGCCGAGCAGCTGCTGCTCCAACTCCACGCCGTTCTCGCCCACGACTGAAAAACGACAGTCGTACAATATCATATGAAAGGGAGTACCTCCGATTTGGAATGGTACCTGTTCCGGTAGTCGTATTTGTCTGCGAGAACTCCTGGGTGTGATTGGTGTCGGCCGGAGTGAAGCCGATCGCCGGGGTGCTGTTGAAACCGGAACTGGCCGGTGTCGTCGCCGAGCAGCTACTCAGCGGCCCTGCTCCGAGATAGCTGGAGTAAGGCGCCGTAGCACTGTAACCCCAATGGTGCCCGTTGTTTAAGCCGAACTGGCTCATATCTGCAACAATAAAAACCGTTGAGTACACAATGTCAAAACGGGCAGATCTAGCTGGGCCTCGTTTCAACTCAACGCCATTCATTGAAAATATCTTGATATTTTCCTCCCCACTTAAACATCGAGTATATTTTCATGCTAGTTTCAGTGATTGGCCTTCCAGTGATTTCAGTGATTTTTTTTTTCATTTTCTCGACAAAAGAAAATTCTGCCCTTAAGTTGTCTCGTTGTTTTTACAAATAAATATTTGTTTATGCTATGTTTTACATTGGAAATATCATATTAGGTAAACACACTTAATCCTTAATCCCAAACAAGGATAAAGGATTTTTAAATGTTTCATTTTTACGGAATTGAAAATGTTTATTCAGTCTCATTTGAATTCTGAAGCATTAAACAGTTTAGTTTTCATCTTTGTTTTCTTACTTTCAATTTTTAAACTTAAAAATGCACTTGGAGCTGAGGATGTTGCGCGTGGTGTGGTTCTTATTGATGATGGACGTTCCATCAGGTATGCGGCTATTGCCATCGGAGTTCCCTACGAAAAATTGCGAGACGCAGTTAGACATTTTCGAGAAATCAAAGAAGTACCCGGCTATGGACGTCCTAGGTAACAAACAGAACCACAGGATGACCGTTTCTTTACTTCGAGAATTTTGCGAAACCGACTCCTTAATGTTTTTCAAGCGATTCATCAGCTACAGGAAGTTCGAGGAGTCCAAATTTCTCGAAGAAGAGTAACGCAGTATGGTCTGATGACTATTCGCCCCATAAGAGGACCAGAATTGACCAAAACAGAAGAGTTTCTCGCATTTGCTCGAGAACACAGCCATTGGTCTTTGGACGTTACAGACTTGTTACAGATGAATGTAGATTGGCTCTACGATCTTCAGATAGGCATGAAAGAGTGTGGAAAAGGCTAAATGAAAGGTACGAAGTTTGTAATTTTTCTCAGTGCCAACCTTGTCAATATACCTCAGCGATGATGTGGGCGGGAATTTCAATGGAGAGTCGCCCAGAGTTGGTTGTTGTTCGTGGAGGGTCTTTCACGTCCACTCGCTATGTGGATGAAATATTAAAACATCGTGTTGCCTATCCTCGATTAAATCAGTGACAATCTTATTCTAATCCACTATAATGCCTGTCCACATATCGCTCGCATAGTACAAAAGTACTTTCAACATTGCCATCGGAGTTCCCTACGAAAAATTGCGAGTCGCCAATAGACGTTTTCGAGAAATCAAAGAAGTACCCGGTTGTGGACGTTCTAGGGTAACAGAACCACAGGATGACCGTTCTTTGACTTCGAGAATTTTGCGAAACCGGCACCTTACTGTTGTTCAAACGATTCATCAGCTACAGAAAGTTCGAAGAGTTCAAATTTCTGAACCCACTGCTTGAAGAAGACTAAATCAATATGAACTGATGGCTTTTCCACCCTATTTTTAAGCGGTCCAGAATCGACCAAAATACACAGAGTTGCACGGTTCGCATTTGCTCGAAAACACAGCCACTGGTGTTTGGACGATTGATCTGCAGCAGTACATAGCTTGTCATTTTTCCCACAAACTTATCAACATAGCTCAGTGATGGTCTTTGACGGCTACACGCTATGTGGATGAAATTTTGGACCATCGTGCGTGGTCCTCATCAGCGACAATACTATTCTAATGCACGATAATACCCGACCACATGTCGCTCGCATGGTACAAATGTACCTTCAACAGCAAAATATCAGGTTCTTAGCCTGACCATCCCGTTCTCCAGACTTGAACCCCATCGAACATTTATAGGATAATCTCAAAAGACGAATAAGAGCACGTTCATCACTTCCTGATACACTCCACGATCTTGAAAGAATTCTTAAATATATATAGAGGGTTGAGTACAAGTGTTAATTTCAATTAACAGTTAAATATTTGTAATTGTTCAGATTCTTCTGCAAACTCGAAGTGGCTCAAGAAGAGGCACGCTTTGCCTTGAAATATGTACTATCAAAAATAAGGATGTTTGGTATGCTCAGTTTCGTTCTGTGATCTTGGATGGAGTGTTTTAGTACAAATAAGCAATTTAATTGAAATACGAATTTTAATTAATTACATATTTGATTCTACCTTTCTGAATAATATAGGCAATATAGAGTAGCAAGGTTTTAACCCGTCAAAGGAATGAAAAGCGCTGAAAATAATGTCGCTTCCACTTTAGGTGCCGTCGTTTAACTTTCAAACAAGGCGTTTGAACGTTGAAAATCGTCTGACATTCTTGCCAAAAATGAAAGCTCGGACAAATATACCTGGGTGTCTCTTCAAGAGGGAGGAAGCACCTTTTGTTTAGATGAACTTTTCGACCTCAAAACCGAAATAAATAAGGGCTGAGTCGACCGGTTGCAGATGTTGACGCTCCCTAGGTGGTCAGAATAGCCTCCTTTCAAACGCGTGCGCTCCTCGCCTTCTGTCACTCTGACAAATTACCTCCTAACCAGAGTTTCTTCCTAAACACTTTTTCACGGATGCCTTTTTCAACAATAGGCGATTTTATGGAAAATATTCTCCTGTTCAGGACTCGGTAGGGAAAGTCAATTTGTCAAAAGAGTTGTTTATGTCTTAGCAGTGTTAAATTTTAAATTTAGCGTTATCTTTAAACAGGCTTAATTAAATTAGAAAAGATTTACGTAAATTTGTATCTGATGCGTTCTTACTGGAAATGAGGGGACGATAATTTCATGGACGTAGCCGCTGGTGAAAGGGACGGTGACATTTTCCGTCAAATACGTGCCGGAGGGTTGGGGATTGAAAGCCGATAATTGATGTGGGATGAGTCCGATGGGGCTTATCAGTTCTTCGGACACTCTCGACACAATTAAGTGACATGTCGGATACCACTCAATCACAACCCACACCCCCAAAATCATTACCTACTCTCCCCATTCCGACCCTTCTTATCTTTTTCATCTCTAACAGAAAAGACAAACGTTTCTTTAAAGCATTGTGAAATAAATCAAACCTAGCCATTTTTCACTTCGAAAACAAAGATTTGAATAAGCTGATTAATTCTAATTCTGTCAATTTTTTTGTTTCTAAACTCAATAAACCGATTAACTGTGTTTGTACTATCCTATGCTTCTCCGACAGAGTCCTTCAACGACTACATAAAACTTTTTCTTACTTTTCGAACTAGACATTGTACGCATGTTCAAAGTGAAAAAGTTCACTATAAATTCAATTAGTTCGTATATGTAGTGTATAAACGTCTTTGAAGTTTGAGCCTCCAGCGGGATCGTGCTGAAGAGATTTTTTGAAGAGTTTCTCAGATGAAGATTATATGTTTTACTTTTTTTTTATTGTATACCATCCCCCACTGCATTTGGTATTACATAAATTAAACATAATAACAGTAACATAATTCCAAATTACAAAGCATATTTACAATTTTAAAAAAGAATACTACGGACTCTTTTCTTTTGCACTTAATAGTTTATTAACCCCTAACAATAATTAACATAATTAAAAAAACTCAATTGGGTTTTAACTCGTCAATTTATTTACAATAATGCATCTTCAATTTATTTACAATAATGTAAAGTATTAATTACACAAGGCTTATACAAGACCAATTTCAAAAAATGCGATAGTACTATGGTCTCTAAAAAGCATGACTTTTTGTGGGCGGCCAACTTAAGCACCTGGCACCACGCAATAACGGAATCCTGGCATCCATCACTGCGTCGCACTCCAGAAGAAGGTGATCCACAGTCTGAGGAGAGATGCCCGACTGCAAGAGCAAGCAGGGTCGGAGATAATATTAAAGCAAAATAGATATTCTGCCAATTGTCCAAGTTCTGTCAGGATTTGGGTACGCCTGTTGTCCATTCGCAGGTTTTTTCTTTCTTTTTTCAAATTTCTTCCCATCTACCCACGCTGCGTTGATTCAGTCATTGAATTGACTTGACAGCAGATAGAGTGATCTTCGAATTTGCTGATCAACGATTTCATTTCCCGCTGTCCTTACGTGCGCCCTGACCCATGAGAATGAGATTGTGCGACACTGCTCAATTTACTTTAGGTGACTTCTTATATCATTGGACTATCGAGTCATTGGTGACGAAGGGTATACGAAAAGTTCAAACACTACAGTGTCCCTGTGATAATTCATAAGGTTTTGTGCTCCTAGGCTTCTCCAATGTTGACTCTGCTGCAACTTCCAAACCCATACCAGATGAACATACCACTTACGTCAATAACTCTAGCTAATTGGGCTGTACTAGAAAGTCCTGCCCGGAATCCATACTGCTCATATTGGATGATATAGCTTAAATTGACTTAACAACAGATAGATTGATCTTCGAATATGCAAATACCAACTCCTCGTTTTGGGAGGCAGCCTTAGCCGTTTGATCTACGATTCATTTTCCGTTATCTTCATGTGTGCCCTGACCGGTGAGAATGAGATGGTGCGACCTTCCTCAGTTCGCTTTAGGTGACTTCTTCTATTAGGGGCAGATTTATTTTGGTATTCAGCAGCGAGTCAGTGGTAACGAAGGGTATACGAAAAGTTCAAACACTACAGTGTCCCTGTGATAAGTTCATAAGGTGCTGCAAGGCTTCTCCAATGTTGTCTCTGCTGCAACTTCCAATTCCCATACCTGATAAACAAACCACTTACGTCAACAACTCTAGCTAATTGGGCTGTACTAGAAAGTTCTGATCGGAACCGATACTGCTCATATTGGATGATATGGCTTGAATTGACATAACGGTAACCCCACAGGAAACACCGGATAACTACGTAACCACATAGATATGAGGACAATTGTGTCTGGGACGATTCTTAGATGACTGTAAATTTAATATTTTGACTCAGATGGGAAAACAGGTTCAGAATTTCAATAAGAAATCAGATCATTTAATGCCCAATAGTCAATTGTGTTATTCCAAGAAAAGAATAAGTTATTAATATTTATACATGCGTGTTTGCTGTTGCCATTATGAATTTGACAATTTTTGTTACATTTTCAACATATTGTATAAGATTAAGATATCATTGAGTGATCATAACATTATTCCTTCAACGATCCTAGAAACTATCCTAACAAATTGGCAAAAATGTGTTTTTTGTTTTATCAATAAAAATGTAGATATATCATTCGTGGTGTATAGTACACTTCCTACTTCGCCCTTTAAGGGCTATTGTATCCCCCGTTCTGTGCTTATAGCACACTTGTAAGTCCTAGTTAATCAAGGAACTCGATTAGTAGGCTCGGTTTCAGTCGTTGTACATCCCAAAAAGCTTCCCCCTGAAGGCAAATGTGACACTACAGTTTGTTGGTAGTGTGTTTGGAGGCTCTTCTGCTTCTTTGCAAAATCTGCCAATGCTGTGTTGTGTTATGCCTTGCTCAGATGCACCTTCAATCTGCACTGTCCTGTTAGGAATTCTGGTATGATTTGAATTTTTATCCTGTTTCCTTTGATCCATTCTGTTGTTTCTTTCCTTCCAAAATTTTCTAGAAGGTTATTCGATTCTTTTTGGCCAATGAGTTTGATACGCCTATCAGCGGTATAGCAGCCCTTTTGCTTGCTAATGCGTCCGCTTTCTCGTTGCCCTCTACTCCATGTCCCGGGATGGGATTCAGCAAAAGGGTTTTTCAGAAAAATACCTATTAAAAGTGCCTATTCAAGTTTTCAACTTGGTCCATCAAGCCTGATTTGGTTTTCGAATTGGCCCTTTACGAAAGAATTTGCCGACCCCTCTCTGGTCTGTACTATTTAAGACGGTTGAAGTCTAGATTAAACTCATACAGCAAGAGCAATAGGGTTAGACAGACCAAAAGGATCGACAAATATTAATCTAGTTGCCACTTACAATTTAATTAAAAATTTTCTGCATACAAAAGGTTTTTATGTAATGTACAGTAAAAAAATAGTCTAAATTTACATACGTAGTGAATGTGCTTTTTTTCTTCCTGTGCGTAACAAGCAATAATGTATAGAGATAGAGAAAACAAATAAAGGAAGCCATCCACTGGTAGCATTACATCGAAAATAATACTTTATATAATTAATGTGTGAGACGTGATACTTACTTTGGCAGGAAGACATGGCGGGAGGCATCCTGAAGGCTAGGGGATCGGGTGCCCTCTGGAGCGGGTCCAGGGCGCCGGCAAAGTGGCCAGACAGGAAGGGCCGCTGTCCGAAAGCGAATGCGTGGAACTGCTGCTGTTGCCCTGCAACATCGAGGACTGGTCATTAATTTGTGAACGGAACAGATGAGCTGGAAAGAGAAGGAAAAGCATCAAACTTCCGCGGGCGATGAGGTTTCCACTACGGTTAGCCATTAAGGTAAGCCTCACGGTTAGAGGCTGTGGTTCACCTAATCCCGAAGAGCCGAGACTCCGGCACGCCCCGGCTAAGCCCCCTTAACACCTCCCAATCCGTCTCAAAGCCAAGATTTACCTTCTTAGCCTTCTGATCAAGCCGGCGGTGACAGATACAGACGAGCCTTCCTCGTAAAACCCTCTAAACATACATATAGCGCCTTTTTATTTATGGACTTATTCCAATAAACCAGATTTAACTTTTCATTCCTGATAGAAAAACTCCAGATCAATTAATTAATAATCCACAGATTAGGATTATCGAGAAGTGTTACATTTATTTTCCTATTTTATTCCAGGGCTAATCAAAATTTTTACAGCCCACTTTTTATTTAGTTATTTATTTATTACATCAACGGCATGTAGCCAATTTTACAACAGTACACATACTCAAAGTATGTGGAATTACACAGCTTTGCTTTTGACCAGAGATGAACAGAATAAGTCCAGATCACTACTTAAGTTATTAGCTTCAGTACATATTCTAGGAATGGGAGAATTTTTTAGGTAGTTCGTTTTACATAATGGTATAAAGAACAGAGGAGTGAATCTGGTCCTCTTATCTGGTACATTAAAGAATATCTTCTCCAACAATTCAGGACAACAAAAGTTCCTTAAAAGTTTTATAAGAAAAACTATCAATTGATAATCTACGATCTTCTAATGAACTAATGTTCAGTACATTTCTGAGAGTTTCATATGATAACCAACTAGAATTTAGACCAAGTTTGCAAGAACAGTATCTAAGAAATGTGTAGAGATTAGTGACCGTTAATCGATAGTTATTCATATATCGTGAGATGCGGTCGGGTGTGATGTAGGTTTCTGAAAAACATTTTCTTTATCGTGCCAACGTTTCGATCTTTTATTGAGATAATCTTCAGGGCCTGGGATTTACAAACAATGTTTACATTTAACAAATACATTTAGGATGTGGAAAAGTGAAGTTATACAATGCAAAATATATTGTTTATATTCAAACAAAGTATTTCTACTCACTCAAAGTGTTTGTCTTCTGTGTAATTGTGCCATCCTAGCGGGTCGTGTTGAGAGTGCTAGTGAGATTTTGCTGTTTTATGTTTATACGTTTGGTTTTGAAGAGGTGGGGAAGGAAGTCGGTATATAAAAGACAATTTTGTGTAAGGCGTCGGCTTCTTTGAAGTGAAAAGAGCCGACGAAGGGAAAAAATGTGTTGGTAATGGTTCGGTCAGATTATCCTTTCAGGACTATATAGAAAGGGATAAATAGGAAAAGGAAAGCTAAATTGTTGGACAATTAGACTATGTGAAAAGTATTTGATGTGTGGAATGTAATGTAATGATATATGTATGTTATCTATATTGAATTTGATTAATGATATTGCCATAGCTGCGACTGAGTTTACATGTATCTGTTCTGTAATTGATGATGTGTTTATCTCTGTTGATATAAACCATTTCTAAGAAATTACGTTTATATTTGTTTTGTTCTGTATGTAATATTTTGGGATTTTTGAAGTCAAAATTGTGTTGGTGTTCAAAGTGGTGGGTAGCGAGTGGTGTAGGATTTTGCTTGGGTTTTTTGCAATCATAGATATGTTGCTTTACTCTCTTGTCCAGATATTGCGATGTAAGACCGATGTAAGTTGCCGGATAGTTTAAACAGTTGATCTTGTAGATTACGTCAAATTTATTTGTTATTGGTGTTGGATCTTTAACTTTGGAAAAAAATGTTTGGATTGTCTTATAATTTTTGAAAGCTATTTTGAAGTTATCGGACGAGAGAAGTGTGTTTAATTTATGTGGAAATATATGCTTGTTTGTTTATATTTGATATACTTAATGTAGTATTATTAGTAATAGTGGAATGTGTTAGTGTTGAGTTGTAGTTGTTCAGCATAAACATATATATAGACATAAAACAGCAAAATCTCACTGGCACTCTGAACACGACACGCTAGGATGGCACAGAAGACAAACACTTTGAGTGAGTAGAAATACTTTGTTTGAATATAAAATATATTTTGCATTGCATAAATTCACTTTACAAGTCCTAAATGTATTGTTAAATGTAAACATTGTTTGTAAATCCCAGGCCCTGAAGATGATCTCAATAAAAGATCGAAACGTTGGAACGATAAAGAAAATGTTTTTAAGAAACCTACCTCACACCCGACCGCATCTCACGGTAATGAATAAGTATCTAAGAAATTTATTTTGAACAGATTCAAGTCTATATATGTAAATGTGATAATAAGGTGACCACACTACTGTCAAAATATACTATTAAAATCCTGTGTATTTCTTTTCAAGAAACCAAGTAGTTTCAACCATGTATTTACAGCAGATTCAATATGCAGGCTAAAAGAAACAGAGAAATCAAAACTTACACCTAGGCCTTTGATATTGTTTATAGCTATTAGTTCTACATCACAGATATTATAGATGTTATATTTAAATTGTAATGGACTATGTTTCTTATGATAATGAACAACATTGCATTTATCAATATTTAGAGTCATATAATTTAGATCACACCATCTGACTAGATTAGTTATGTCTTGTTGTAACATTTCACAGTCTTCAATACATTTTATTATTTTAAATACTTTGAGATCGTCCGCGAAAACTTAAATGGACTATTTGTAAAACATTTAACAATATCATTAATAAATATATTAAATAACAAAGGCGACATGTGGCCACTTTTTGGAACACAGAGGTAACAGATATAGGTTCTGAATCCATATTATCTATCTTTACAATTTGAGTTCTGTTAATCAGAAAATCTCTCAACCTTTTACATAAGTACATAGTAAAATTTTCCTACTGTCGATTACCACAATAACTTAACCTGTTTGTCACGTTTTACAAAGGTTTATAAAAACCAAAATTAGGATAAAGTTAAATTCATCTTTTATATTTTACGTTTGTTTATCACACAAAGAATGTCAAATGTTATTCTGCCTTTCTACATCTCCGTCAACACAAAGCATACTACTTTATTTAACTAGTGCAATCAACAATAGAAATTAAATCCATTATATTTAGTGGTCTATTGACCAAATTACTTCTTTCAATTAATTAATTCTTTTATGTATGGTTCTGGTTGAAATGAAAAAGTTAGTACCACGAGCGGGTTGTTTATTTAGCGTTAATAAAATAGCCTTTGACCGCGTATGGCACTCTGGGCTGCTGTGGAAGTTCAAGAACAACCTATTACTTTATCCTAAAATCTTATCTTAACGATCGTTACTTCCAAGTATCCCACAAAAATTCATTGTCTCATATCGATCCTATTCTTGCAGGTGTCTCACAGGGCAGCGTGCTCGCTCTTTTCCTTTATTCAATTTATACCTCCGACCTACCTACGCAACCTAACACTATCACCTTCACCTTTTCCGATGATACCGCAATCCTTTCTCTTGATAAAGATCCTGTCACTGCTTCCCGTAATCTTCAAAATCACCTAAACACCCTAAAATGCTGGCTCCGTCGGTGGACAATCAATACCAACGAAACCAAATCAACAAACATTATATTTACACTAAACAAGAAAACACTCCCACCAATATACCTCAATAACGTCCCCATCCCAATTGCGAACCATGTACGATACCTCGGACTCTACCTGGACAAATGACTGACGTGGAACCCCCAGCGCACAGACTGTAATATACGATTTTTCATGCTTAAATGACTACTCAACAGACGATCAAAACTCTCACTAACAAACAAAAGAAAACTTTACATTGCCCTCCTGGCCCACATTTGGACATACGGACTTGAACTTTACGGTACTGCTAAGCGTTCCAACCTCAATAGAATGCAATCTCTTCAATCTAAAATCCTCAGAACAATAGTACACGCCCCTTTCTATGTATCCAATCACACCATCCATACCGACCTAAATGTCCCTTTTGTTACCGAGCTAGCCCAATCCCGCTACAAAACGTTCCATTCTAAACTACTCCATCAACCGAACCCTTTCGTCAAAAACCTGTCATCCACCACATTAACTCAAAATCCCAACAGAAGACTGAAGCGTCGGTGAAGCGACAACCTTAACAATTGACCTCGGTCTCCTACGATGGAGTACATCTTGCTTTAATTGATAATTGATTTAACGGCTGCCATCACTGCACGGTAATTGTTCAAGCTTTCCCGCTTCCGTTAATATGTTTACATGCAAATATTATCTGTTTTACTTGTTGCGTCGAAGAATGCAGTTGTAAAAAACAAATAAAAAGTTTAAAAAAATAGCATTAAATTTAATATTAATCCATTTATGTTTAGTGGTCTAATTGACTAAAAAACTTGTTTCAATAAAATTACTCTTTTTATGTAAGGTCTTGGTTGAGATGAAAAAGCCATTTCACGATCGTTTACAAGTTTAGTATTGATATCAACTTATTAGAAATTTAACGTACTTTTCAATGGTCTCAACGGATTTGTCCAAAACCTTTTAGTTCTGGAGTTATCATCGTTTATTTGAAGCAAGGTCGTGAAAACGTAAAAAATCAGAAAAAGTGAAATTGCTCCGAAACTGTTGGGATTCGGACCATAGTAAATTAGGGCTTTTTGATGTAGAATGTACTGGCAAAGTTTTACGAGTAGCTGAACACCCCGTATATTCTTTAATTACATGCACCAAATCTGGCTAGAATTCAATTTAATTTCTTTTTTGTTCATATAATAAACTCATACTTACTAGAGAAAGCGATTATTTTTTAAACCCAGTTTAACCCCTTTACTCAACAACCGGCACACATACTTCTGTATCCTGGATTTGGTGCGTAGATATACAGGACATTCTCCTGCCGGCGTATGGTGTCGATTAAGTGAAGATTGGCCTGGGATAGATATATCCTTGATAAGAGTTGACGTTCTATCTGAATCAGGATACATTAGGATTTAGTTTGGGGTTCAATGAAGGTTCTCAACAAAATGAAGGTTTTGATGTCAAATCGTAAATGTTTTTCCTAAAACTTTGTTTTCGTATCATTGAGAAATGAAGAAACAGCTTTTTATCGACAAACTTCGAGCAGTAGAGTAGCACAAAGCAGTCTAATATAAAATCGGACAACACTAGGGCATACAATAGAATTATATCAGTATATAGTAGGGTTGGTTAAGGATGGTTAGGGATGACGGGGATTGGATGGAGGGGGGCCGCGGTAGCCGAGTGGTTAAGGCGTCAGACTCTCGGTTAGTAGATCCCGCGGTCGTGGGTTCGATCCCCACCGTCGCCTCTGGACTTTTTCTGACGCCTAAGGGGACCGCTGGTCGCAATTGAAAGAAATTGACACGGCACTCATCAATGGAAGGGAAAAAAAGATCGCTATAATAGTTCAGGTATAGTTGCTAGAATTTATCTAGAACTTGAAAGATAAATGCATTGAATTAGGTAGGATAGGTGTAGATATCACTAAAAATCATTTTATTGAATCATGTAAGTATATAATATGAAGACAAGGAAAAATATATAAGCAACAAAAAATTATAATTGTAATCAAATAAGTAGATACTCAAATTTGTAACACAAAATCCATAAAACTAATGATTAAGGAAAATAATGACAGCAGTTTAAGTTTCCTCATGTCTCTGAATATCAATTAAAAGATAGAGGCTAAGTAACGCCGATAACACGTTGTTTTTATATTATGAAGACGTCTTCACCTGTTTCAGCAGTTTCGGTTTATACCATAGTTGTGAAATTCCGAACAAGTCGTTTTATAATTTAATTTTCATTGAGTAATACCTTTCAATTAATTAAGGTTTTTAGTTGAGATAAAAAAGTTAGTGTCACGAGCGGGATTCGAACCCACGATCTTCGGCTAGATACGCCACTACTCTACCACTTGAGCTATCCTAACCTCGATCCACTCGGACACCAACTACCCATCTCAACCCCACCTTTTGAATTTTCCCTCCTTTTTCCCATTTTTCAAATGTCGTGTTATCTATTTGATTCTTGGCGACAAATGAAATGGCCACGGAGAGCTTTAGTGAAGTGGATCGAGGTCACGATTGCTCAGCGGTAGAGCAGCGTCGTATCTAGCCGAAGATCGTGGGTTCGAATCCCGCTCGTGACACCGACTTTTTTATCTCAACTAAAAACCTTAATTAATCGAAAGATATTAATTGGTCAAGCGGACCAATTAACTAGGGAATTGAGTAATACTTAAGTCTGTTTCTATTTCTTGACGATTATGTTCTTTCGTCCACTGAGCTACTAGTAATCAGAATATTCTTTCAACATTTGCATTATGTCCAGCGATGGCGTTGATTGTTTGCTTGCTGGAACAATTAGTTGGTCAAACAGTTCGACCGTAACCAGATTTCTGAGTCGGTGACATGTCCCAGCGCACCGGGTCGTACACTCGATATTCTTAAAAAGGAGTCTTCGAGCTATATACAGTGAAGATCTTCTGCTGTAAAAAGACCCAAAAATTCAAAATTCGAGAAAGTAGTTGTTTTAACTAGTTTTTCCATGTAAGGGCCGAGGTCTTAGTTGTGTTGGAATTTCCAGGTTTTCAACCATTTCTATTAGATCTAGGATACCGATCACCCCCAAAATGGTATACAAAATGCAAAACAACTTTAGAAACCTACGGTATAGCGAAGGGCACTACAACCTAATAACTTCTACATTTTGTCTTAGCACAGCTGTTGAGTTCTTTTATTTTGGGGTTGGATTTGATATTGTTTATAGCCCTAATTATTCTACTTAATGATCAATGGAGATTTATATTTAAATGTTTACTTAAAAAAGTTTGAAAGGCCCATTAGTCGGTGATGCAAACCATATTGACTACCCCAGCCCTCGTCTATGACATTTGGAAAAATTAAACATAGTTTCGATGTAGGAATCGCCGGTTGATGTATCTCGACCGACAAAGCTGGGGGAAACAAAGCTTTGTCGGTGGATCGTTAGTCTCTTTCTATGTGCCGGTTTTTTTTGGGTCGTGTTGATAATAAAAACCCCGTGCGAGGGAGAGGCGCCACTTTTAACTATGACAAAAAAGAAAACGCGTAAAGAAAACAGGAGGCTTCAAAGCAGGCCGCGAAGCATAAACCTCCATGTGGCGCTCTGTTTACAAAAGGTTCCACTTAAAGAAAACCCTAAATGCACGATCCGGCCAATAAGGAAACATCATGGCCGGCCCGGGGGCCAATAAGGAGGAAAAAACAAACGATAAAATGAGATAACACTGAACGAAATGGAATCTACTACGGAGATGGCCACGCATCCTCACCCTTTAACATTTTACTTTTATCTTCGAAAGTGAGCCAAATTTTTAAACGATTCATATTCATATTTTATAAACATAAAAAAAAACATATAAAATTAACACACAGATAAAATTAACACACAGAAAAATCAAGAAAATAACAGTTATTTTGTCAATTTTTACTAATATTTTGTACATATTTTACAATTTATAGATGGAAAAAAATTAAGTCATCTCTTGGGAACTTCAAGGTAATGACGCAGCATTTTGGTCGTTTACCATCATTTTAATAAAAAATTTATAATTAAATAAATATCCTCGATTAAAATGGTCGGAAATGACCACACTACAGGTAATGTAAAATGGTTAGTATTAAATTAAATTCGCATAGGTTTTACTTACAGTTAAGGAGGGCACTGCCTAAAAAATAAAAAATAAAATATTAAAGTGTGTGGTGTTTAGTGACCGTTAGCTAATGATTATTCGGAAATCGTGAGATGAGGTCTGGTGTGAAGATGATCTCAGTAAAGGTCGAAATATTGGCACGATAAAGAAAATGTTTTTCTAAAACCTACTTCACACCAGACCGCATCTCACGATCTCCGATTAATCAATAAAATATTAAACTTCAATCCTGTTCAGACTTTTCGGTAGAAAATAAATAAAAAATTTATCACCAGTTGTTTATTAAAATATTTTTTACGAAAAAAGCAAGTATGTCATTTGGAATAATGGTCAGAGCACAGGCATACTGGTTTGGCAAAATATTTTGAAATATTTTTCAACGGAAAATTTAACAAAAAAAAAATAGTATTGAATTAGGAATTTTAAATTATCTGAACATCCTAATTTTTTTCACCTTCTGACGTTCATTCTACCACAACATCTAAAATGAAAAAGAAAGTTCCAGATTTTGATCTTATTACTCAAAACTGTTTCCAAAACCTTCCTAAAAGACGGTTACCATATTCATTACATATCTATTTAATCCAGTTCTTCGTACAACTTACTTCCATATAGCTTGGGAACACTACACAACTCGTATATCTGAAGGTTCCCTAAACTAAGAAAAAAAATCAACACATTGTACTACTTCATGTAGATCAAGTTCAGTAACCATTTTGGGTAAAATTAAAAAAAGCTCCTTTTGAGTCGTAATTGTCCAATAGTGCCTCGCGTAGTTATAACATTACCTCTTCCTTCCTTGAGTTGGGGCGTTACTGGGCTTCTCTTGCGGTAAGCAGAGCTTTTGATCAAGTTTTTCAATCGGGCTTGCTGTTCAGGTTTAACGATAACCTTCCTTACACCTTCTATCTCATACTGCACAGTTGTCTCACTGGCCGGTTTTTTTTAGTCATTGAAGGCTACCCCCTCCTCTCAGACTATTCCCCTATCCATACTGGGGTCTCTCAGGGTAGCGTTCTGTCCCCCACGCTATACCAGGTGTACAAAGGTGACATTCCATCGTTTCAGTGTCAAACCATCTCATTTGCAGACGATACAGTAACTCTGATACTGTTATTTTCACTCGAAAACTTCAACAAACCTCAAACAACTAGAGTCTTAGTATGAAAAGAAAAGAATAATATTTAACACAAACAAATTGACCCACATTAACTTTACTCTCCGTTAAAAAAATCTCCCCTCGAGACTACTAAAATGATATTCCCGTGGAATCCTCACTCACGAAAACTGATTTACGACACCCTAGCCGATATGGAATTACGGACTGGAGGTGATCCAAAGATTTTTCCATGATTCACTTTGTCCTAGTAGAACCGTATAGCATTATTCACCAGTCAAATGGGAAACATTGAAAAAATGCATGCTTGTTTTCTTTTTATAAAGGATTCTTGCCAGGTTATTGGGTATATTTTTTCCTATCATCCTTAGTTTAATCTGTTGGACATATTTCGACTATTCACAATCTTCATCTTCTTTGGTGCCTCGAAAACTCACAAAAATGCAAGGTATTTTTAACATGGTACTTTTAGATTTTACGTAAATTAAAAACAAATAATGATTTATTATTGGATCTGTGGGATTTCTATAAAGGCCAACCTTTTTAATAACGTCATGAGGAGTGCGTGTATCTTTGTTTGTCTATGGCTTAGGTGGATTGTCGTCAAGGATGTTTTGTTCGTTCCAGTCGGTGTTTGTAATCTCGGTCCTTTTTCTTTCTAATTTGTACAGTGTAAATGATGTGTGTGAATTGTTTTTAATTAGTGTGTTTATGAGTATATTGAAGTGTTGTATGTGCTGTTTGCATAAGTTCAAGTTTTCAAGTGAAGGCAAACCACACAGGGAAATCACACGACTTAAAATGACATTACAAAACTTGTTCGTAGTCAAAGAAGTCAATTTTGTAAAAGTTGTTTAAATTTTTAGTTCGACTGGTCAAACAAGAATTAAATTAAGAAAACCAGGCATAGAAAGAACTGGGAAAAAATTGCACATAGAACATATAATAAATGGAATTGTTGTGGAATGATAACTATTGGATTGTATAATTATTTTGTTTGAAATCACGACTTTGTTCGCGGGCTGGAAGGAAAAAGTAGCAGGTGAAAAATCCGGTTTGGCCCAACAATACAAGCATGAGTGCGGGGTGGGAAAGTCTACAAGGCCCGTAGCCAGTGCGGTTTCCCAGATGTCCCACGCAACATTCTCATTCAATATATCGAGTTGGGTTTTCGAGGTCAATAGGTCTTTATAAAGAAGTCAATTTCGATAAAAACCAGCAGCCAGAGAACCGTGACAATTTTGTGTTCGCACTTTGAGGTTTTTTAGAAACCTCTCAAGACAGTGCTTCTTGACACAGCACAACCCCTTAATTTTTGGTTAAACAATTATTTCGCTTGTTACACGTTGGCAAAGATGTCAAGATTGTAAAATTTCTAATAAATTTTCTTTATTTTATAAAAATTAAAAATAGTTTAATAGCCAAAACCTGAATTATTTTTTCACCAGCCCAATAGTTTAAAATTGCATGTTCTGAGGACAATTCGAATGGAGGAGAGTTAATTTTCCAGAAGATACAACAAAATGTTTATTCCTCCGTCAAAATGATGCGGCCGGTTTCTTGATTGGCCCCAAACGGATCCACATCTTCTCATATTGTGTGAAACAGAATAAGCGAATTGTTGATCACCTACGAGCGATGATTAAACTTTTGGGAGTTCAGCTCGACTGCACGTCAAGCAGTTCCGCCACTTTCAATGAAAATATCGACATATAAACTCGATCTTGGCAAGCAAAACTCAAAACTTCGGCTCATTTTGACGGACTGATAAAAACTTATTGAAGAATATTTAAAGTTCATGGAGGTAAACAAAAGTTGGTATTTAACTACATTAGATTTCCATGTTGTCTAAATCCAACGAATCCATTTGTGTAAACAATACCAAAACAATCAATGATAAAGCAAAGCAAAAAATGAAAACACACATTATGGAAAATGTTATGAATTTCTTGTAATATATCGATGAGTTTACTTTCCATGGGTACGTTCGTTTTTAGTTAATAAACGGTTTCATGTTTTAATAAAAAGGAATTTATATGTTTCGAAAATATCTGTGTTCATATTTTTTGTTCTTGAAGTTCCAGGCATGTAGAGTACCTTTTTTCAAAAAGTACGGGTTTTTAACTAAAACCAGCTGGTAGCAGGCCCATTAACATCATCCTAAGAAATTCATAAAATCGACTACCACCAAAAAAAGCAAATGAAAATGCTTAATAATAAATCGATTAGGTTTCGAGGTCCGATTGATCAAAAAAATTCTTTTCAATTAATTAATCTTTAAGTAAGGTATTGGTTGAGATAAAATAATAAAAATGGAAACTTTTCACATTCTGTGCCATAAGTCTGTTATTATTTGACCTATTTGAATCTGTTTGCGCCACCCTTTTTCAGTGGAAATTTTTTTTAAAATAGTGGGTTTTAAAATTTCAAAGTTTGTCTGGTTCTGAAGTATCCTGACAACAAATGTTTTTTTAAAAAGTGGTAAAAATTTAAGCTAGACTAAAAAAAATGTTAAATACTTTCTTCTGGTTTATCTATAGTGCTATCTCAAGAAATATTCAGCTGGGCCAGCTAAAAAGAACACCCTGCATATACAATAACTTCACTAATTTCGTGGTCCGCTTGACCAATTAATATATTACAATTAATTAAGGTTTTTAGTTGAGATAAAAAAGTCAATGGCACGAACGGGAATTGAAAAATGGCAAAAAAAGCGGGAAAATTCAAAAGGTGTGGTTGAGATGGGAAGCTCAAGTGGTAGAGCAGTGGCCTATTTAGCCGAAGATCGTGGGTTCGAAACCCTCTCGTGCCATTGAATTTTTTATCTCAACTAAAAACCTTAATTAATCGTAATATACAATAACATTCGTTTCCATAGAAAAAAAACAAACACCGGACGTGCAGTACGGAAAATAAAATAAAAAGAACAAAAAATATCATTGAGGTGAAACTACATAAAATTAACGAAACCTAATAAAATGTACTAAGCAATATGAAGTATACTTCACTAAAGCACTCCGTGGCCATTTCATTTGTCGCCGAGAATCCAATCCGATTAAACGACATTTGAAAAATGGCAAAAAGGAGGGAAAATTCAAAAGATGGGGTTGATATGGGAAATTAGTGTCCGAGTTGATCGAAATCACGATAGCTCAAGTGGTAGAGCAGCGGCGTATTTAGCCGAAGGTCGTGGGTTCGAATCCCGCTTGTAACATTGACTTTTTTTATCTCAACCAAAACCTTAATTAATTGAAACGAATTTATTTGGTAAAGCGGACTACGAAACCTAATAAAATAAAATATGACTATTCGACTCACCTCGCACAAAACGACGAGTCATGAACAACAGACAACCTTCAAATTACTACAGGACTTTTAATTGAGATAAAAAAGTCAATGTCACGAGCGGGATTGAGATGGGAAGTTAGTGTCCGAGTAGATCGAAGTCACGATAGCTCAGGTGGTAGAGTAGCGGTGTATCAAGCCGAAGATAGTGGGTTCAAATCCCGCTCGTGACACTGACTTTTTTATCTCAACTTAAAACCTTAATTAATTGAAAGATATTAATTGGTCAAGCGGACCACGAAAACTACTGAATTACTCCAGGACGTTTAAAAAGGACTAAAACTTCTGAATACCTACAATAACAGCGCATACGCATAATTCTTTCAAGCATTGTACACACATCAAAGGAAAATATGTAATGACTTAACAAGGACTAATAGAAAAGATAGACAAAACCAGAGTACAAAGACAGCTACAGACAAAAATAACGTTTTTCCGCCTTTCCCAATGTTATAAAAAGACTCGATTAAATGGAAATCACACAGATGATGGCAGGAATCGAAAACGCGTCTGGTAGATCAAAACAGCGGATAAACAGACGAAAATGATCGAAATAACATAAAATATTAATTTAATTATTCTGAAATCGTGAGATGCGGTCCAGACCGTATATTTCTCAGCCTTTTGCGGTCGGTCTTTAGCAGAAGAATTATAAGCGAGACGCATGTAAGTTTTGAGAAAACGGACCGCAAGATTAAGCGGAAGGAACTGTCGCAAACTATGCCGAGGCTCCCGAATTGGGGAATGCTCCCGTCCCGTTTGGGTTAAAATAATTCCCACCAAGTCTCCAAACAATTTCAACGGGAAATATTTACGGAATCCGGCGACGTATATAAGGGTGCAACTGGGCGCTCAACCCCCGGCCGGAACGCCGCCCGAGGATCGCCCACCCCCCATTTTACCGCGAGTCTTGCGACCATTCGGCCAAATGAAAATGAGATGAAACAAAAAACCGAGCACTCGTTTTAAGCTTTTATTCCTTTTGGTATAAAATGGGTTATTTATGACAATTTCATGACGTGTTCAAGATGCAAAGATCGGTTCATGAACATCAGTTGAACTTATAAAAATACCAGTATCGTTTGCTTCTTATCAGCTGTTTGGAAAGCTTAAGTGTTAAATTTTTTTTCAACGCGATTTTTCGTTCAATCATCTAGGCATCGATCCATGACGGTGTTAATCTACTGTGCTCATCAAGCTCAGTTCATATAACTTGTAAATGCTTAAGTTAAGCTTGTAAAGTGATGGTATGGTATGGTACGGTAACAAGGGCAATGAGAGCAACCCCTACAAATGCATTAGAAACTCTGCTAATCCTACCTCCATTGAAAATATTCATACAAGGAGAGGCAAGGAAAAGCTCACTTAGGCTCCAGAAACAATTAAATTGGAAAGGAACTAAACAATTCGGGCGTACAACCATAATCCACTAAATCAGACACCCTTTATTAAAAATATGGACTGATTATATGATCCCGGAAACGTTCTTCACAAATTCCTATAAAGTCTCAACGGACTACAAAGGAGAGGAAGAACACAGTAGAGCATCAGATATAAGGATATGGTATACAGATGGCTCCAGAACAGACGAAGGAACCCGATCAGGCGTTTTGTGTACAAGCCCGAAACATGAGCAATCAAACTCATTAGGGAAGTACTCTTCGGTCTTTCAAGCAGAAATACATGCCATCAATGCTTGTGCCCTAGAAAATCTTAAAATTGGTTACTAAACAACTGATAGCCAAACAGCCATTAAAGTATTAGCATGTAAAAGAATCACATCAAAATTAGTCAGTGAATGCATCCAAAATCTCCAAAACCTGGGGAAACACAACAACCTGATGATATCTTGGGTGCCAGGGCACAGGGGAATTTTGGGTAAGACAAAGCAGACTGTCTGGCGAGAGGAGGATCTGCAAGACCATACATAGGCCCCGCACCTATACTTGGGATGGCAAAAACAAATATAGAATCCTCCATCGCAGAATGGATCCAAACAAAACAAAAGGAGAAGTGGATAAACTCTAGCGGCGCTAGACATGGTAAACTTATTATGAAACAACCCTTACCAAGACTGGCACAAGCACTGCTGCAACTGAAGAGGGCCAAACTCAGAGGAGTGGTAGGACAACTAGCCGGTTACTGGCATCTGAGTAAACATCTACACAACATGGGTATATACAACGATGATCCCATTTGCAGATTATGTAATGAGGAGGAGGAGGAAACAGCCACTCATATCATCTTCGAATGCGAAGCAACAGCTCAATGGAGATTTAACCTAACGTACGGAAAAAACTTAAGGAATCAAATTGCAGCGACAGTCAATGACCTGATTCTTCTAAGAAGGATTGAGTCTATTGCACTGAACTAAGGAACTAGGAAGGTACAATAAGCCAGAAGGCTGCAGTGCCTGGGGAGCGCAAATCCCGCTTCCTAGTATCCTTTTTTACCATACCATACCATTATAAAGCGATGAACGAACAAATCGACTACAAAACCAATTAAATAAAGGCAATATATCGAATGGAAAGAAGTGCAACGTAAGCGGAGATAAAAAAGAAAAATCATTGGGCATCCATCTATGATTATAAGTTTATCAGATTTATCTTTAAATCTCTTAAAGTTTCGTTTGACATTGACCTAGATCAAACGTCAACGTAGATATTCTTTCAAGCGAGGAACACACTTACCCAATGCAACGCTATGCGACGCTACCCGATGCGACCCGACGCCTTGTCAAGTTTATGTAGGGTTTGCACAACTAACGACGTCAAGCGCACGCCACAGCGTGCATCACAATAATCACTATCTCAATCGCAATGCTTCTTTTGTTCTTAATGCACTATTTTGAGCACAACCTTGTAATAAATTGTTTGTTAAACTTAATTGTTTTAAATAAAGTTATTCCGGTGTTTTGATAAATTTTGTTCCTAACCATCATAATTAAATAATTTTTATAAAAACCCATGAATTTTTGATCTCGTTCAATGTGGTTTACATTACAATAACAATGTTGTAATTAATATAACGACAAAATTACATGCACTTAGTCTGAAATAAACTACAAAAAATATGAGTGTCCTGTTCTGACGCTACTCGACGAAAATGGTGTAATTTTATGAGCAAAACCATGAAATAAATTGTTAGTTAAATTTTATGAGCGAAACCGTGTAATAAATAAATTCATTATAAATAATATATTCATTATAATAAATTCATTATATCAAAAAATGGTTTTCCGGTGTTTTGATCAATTTTCTACCAAACCATTAAAAAAAATTTTTTTAAATAAAAACTAACGAATTTTTGATCTCGCTTAATTTGGTTTATATTAAAATAAGTATGTTGTAATTAATATAAAGACAATAATACATGTTGTTTGAATAAAAGTATGGGTGTTCGGTTCTTTCGCTTCGACTGTACTCGATGCTACCCGATGAAAATCTGGACAGTGTGGATCGCAGAGCGTAGAGTAGGGTAGCGTTGCATAGCATTGGGCAGATGTGCACGGGGGTAATACATTCTTATGGAAAATTGGACTTTAAATTTGCATCGGGTAGCATGGAGTAGCGTCGCATGGGGTTGCATCGGGTAAGTGCGTTTCCGGCTTTAGGTTTTTTTGGGGGTTTCATATGCGTTTTGAGATCGTATTTTGTAGAAGCTAGGATACGATTTTATATATTTCTTTCTTTATCAAGTATTATGGCTTGTTTTTTGACATAAATATAATAAAAAAAGGGTTGAAGGCAATGTATTTTAAAAATCGATATCTCTAATTAAAATAAAAAATTATTATATAAAATATTTTGTAACGATTCATTTATAGTATGGCAAATGTACGGCTTTTTAAATAAAAATTGCTTAAATATTCTGGACTTTTCTCTGTGAAGGGTAAACCGAAGGCTGTGTAGGAAGAGACTTCAACGTCGTCGAGAGGCAGAATGATCTTCGACGATTTCTTAAAGATTACGAGTAAAACAGTCATGTGAGTCATGGACGCGTGAAAGATGAGAAAAAGAAGGAAAACACCGAGGACAGGCGATGACCTCAGCTCTTGGCTCATAAACTTTTCAGATTATATATATAATCCACAAATTATAAATGCAGCTTTAGTTATTTTCCCATTTTTTGTTTTCCTCTTCTGTTCGTAACTGCTTAAATTTCAGAAGAAGGATAAAATTTGATGGCTGAAGCTCTTTATATAGATCATATTTGACGACCAAAACGGAGTCATGTGAGTCAAAATGCGCGAAAAAACAGCAAAACAAAGAAAATAAGAGGACGTCGATGACCTCAGCTGTCGACCCTAAAACTGCCCAAATTACACATATAAACCACAAATTATAAATCTAGCTTTAATCATTTTCCCATTTTTTGTTTTCCTCTTGTGTTCCTAAGTGCTTCAATTTCAAAAAAATTGTAATATGATGACTGAAGCTCTTTTTATACATGCAGCAGTATGGGTTTCTCGTTCATTAATTTTTAATTTTTTTAATTAGTATGTTAAGTTTGTAGTTGCAAATACCCATCTCTATTTGTTTGGTCATAAATACTTAATTGCTATTATTTATTACTAAAAATAAAAGTAAAAAGGGGTTGACAAACAACCAAAATAAAATAAATTTTGAGTATTAAACACAGAACAGGATGTTCAGAGATGTATAAAGTCGTTCTTGTTGCAAGAAATGATTTATAATATATATTTATCAAATCTGATAAGTCTGTAAAGTTAAGTCAAACCATTAACTGATAATTGAGTTACTTTCGGCCGCATGAAAAACAATGAACGATTTGTATTATTTTTGCAAAAGGAGACACTTACTCGTTTTCGATCGAGGTTCTCTAGGGCCGTCCACTGTGACTTTAATGGCTTTTGTGTAGGTCGCCACCTGTGGAGGGGTCGAGCTCACAGTTATGGTCAAAGTGAAGCTTTTTCCTGAAACCAATAAATGAAAGAAAATAATTAGAAACTGCCATTGAAACGATTTTCGACGTGCGAATTGACAATATTTACTGTTACAAAGATAATCTTATGGGTTAATATAATATCAATATATCCTTCCTATACGAAAAACGCCGAAGAACATTTTTGTTTTTGTTATTGGACTTCACCCCGAGGATTGTCTCTCCCCGATATGCCGACCTCAATAACTCAGGAGAGTTCACCTGCCACTTTATGTGGCATAGTCACTAGTACACCCACAAACCAGTTGGCCAGATCTCACTCCCCAACCAACGGGTGATTGCGACAGTTATGTCATCATCCCCACGCATGGAAAATATAATCAAGCCTAAAACGGACTTCCGTAATAAACACGTTTAGACCTATGTTCATTGCACTCATTCTGATTATTCGGTGGAGATTCATTTTTCTGTATTAACTCCTGTACTGAATTGTATTGCATGGACTTCCGCTTGGAAAATTGTTGATGTTAGTCTAAGAAGCTTTAGTAGTGTGAAATTGGCCTCTTTTATCCCTTCGCGTACTCTGAGTTCTATCTTCGATCCATCTGTGTAATACATTAGGGCCACATCTTGTGGCCGCCTATTTTCCAAAGATATCTATTTTCTACATCCACTTGGAAAGATCTGTCAAAGTTGAGCTTTCCTCTCATTTTGCATGATTTAACAAAAATTCTGATAAGGAGTGTAAATTCTCCAAATGTCTAAATAAGTAAGGGAATTACTTTTTATAACTCACATGGAATTGATACCAAAAAATAATCTAATCTAAATTAGGGTCGGTGGGGGTTAAACATTCCGCCATCGAACTTAACACACACACTGCTGGAAAAACGATGGTGACGTTACATTTCACCATCAGCCGCTCACCACTCACACTTATAAATACACGCATAACCACAAAGCACATAAACCAGATTCGCATACAGTAAAAACGTGCTACAAAAAGCGGAACAGTGAAGCCAGAAACTCGCCCGAAAACCGTTTTAAATTCGACAGCAGCCTACAAGCTCTCAGTAGGAGTCAAATCGTGAAAACCTTATGTGGAACACATCGAGCAATCTACCTCTACATGTTTTTGTTATTAATGTTGAAATTTCTTACAAATAAACATTTATCGCTTTAATCCAAGGCTTTCCAAACTTTTTAGCCAGCGGACTCCTCGAGCAAAACAAATCCAGGGCGGACCCCACGAATTCAAGTATTTAAAATTAGATACTTTTATGAAGTAAACTAAAGTTTTATAAATTAGCCAGTCCATTGCTAATTAGGTGATGGAGAGGGTTATCACTGTGAAAACGCTATCCGAGTGCCTTCTCAACACGGCACGCAAGAATGGTACAATTACGCAGAAAAAAAAAACGCTTTGGGCCCTGAAGATTATCCCAATAAAGATCGAAACGTTGGCACGATAAAGAAAATGTTTTTCTGAAACCTACATCACACCAGATCGCATCTCACGATTTCTGAATAATTAACAAAAATCAAATTTGACAGAACGGAATCAATATGTATGTAAAACTCAAGCCAAATTCAAAAGTAATAATTTGAACAATAATGATAAAATTGTTGGTGGGCACTCTCAACACGACAAGCAAGGATGGCACAATTACACAGAAGACAAACACTTTGAGCCCTGAAGATGATCTCAATAAAAGATCGAAACGTTGGCACGATAAACAAAATGTTTTTCTGAAACCTACATCACACCCGACCGCATTTCACGACATCTGAATAACTATCGATTAACGGTCACTAATCTCTACACAATAATGAGAAATGAGAAAAGTGACGTTGTTTTAGCATGAACAGTTTGGATACATTGATTTTAATTTTTGATAGCTGGAGACGGATGTCGGGTTCAGCATCAAGACAGCATCGCTATTAAGTAATTATTCAGAAATCGTGAGATGCGGTCTGGTTTGATGTAGGTTTCAGAAAAACATTTTCTTTATCGTGTCAACGTTTCGATCTTTATTGAGATCATCTTCAGGTCTGTCGTGTTGAGAGTGCCGACACGCAAGAATGGCACAATTACACAGAAGTCAAACACTTTGAGCCCTGAAGATGATCTCAATAAAGAGCGAAACGTTGGCACGATAAAGAAAATGTTTTTCTGAAACCTACATCACACCAGACCGCATCTCACGATTTCTTAATAATTATCGCTTAACGGTCACTAATCACCACACATAGCTATTAAGTTTTGGTGCCTGTATAGAAAGAAAATCCGGATTCGCATAAGTAAATAGTGGCAAATGGAAGAAGAACAAGTTTTTTTTTCGGTGAACGGATAAAATGTTAACGGACGTCTAAAGAAATATAAGTCGAAATTGAAAACGACTTGACTACCCACTCACGGTCTTGCAGCATTGTATCTCAAGCTGTTGGGTAGTAGTGCTCAAAGACATCTACAAACTTCAAAGGGTCGCATATTTCATAAATCAACGTGCCGTACGCAAGCTCCACGTGTTTTTTTTTAAATTCATTTAACACAGGAAAACGCTCCTCCTCTTCCTTCACAACAGATCCAACCCAAAACTGGATTTTTCTTTTGAAGACGTGAACTTTGTCATTAAAATCGAAAGTTGTGATACTCTTCCAATGCAAAGAAAGGCCCATCTCATTAATTTTAATGAAAATACTTGATAAATACGACAGAATACATTGCCGTTTCTCATCACTGAAATTTTGACATTGTGGTCTATCAACAGAGAGAAAACGTCAGACCGTAATTCCTGTAATCGTGAAAGTGCTTTCGCACAAGATGGCCAGCTAACTTCCGTTTGGTGAAGCTGGGAATGACGAAGGCTTCCCTTATCGACACGTAGTATTTTGAAAACTCTTAGCTTCAATGGCCGCGACGAAATTTAATTAATAATTTGAACATACTTATCCAAAACTTTCTTAACAGTGCCTGACATTTTTTTCATCGCTAAAGCATGCCTGTGGAAAATACAAATAATTTAATATTTGTTATATATAAATATATTTAACATAAATCCTGTAGCAAAATAAAAATAAAATTATTTTCAGTACTCCTTTTTTTCATAACGAGGGTTTGCTACAGCAGATATATACAGAATATCAACCCTCAAGGTGCCGGTGTTTTTGAAAAAAAAGTTTTTTGTATGTATGTCGGGTTCGAATGCAGGGCGGCTGGATTCGAACCCGGGACCTTTTACCTTACTTGTTGTACTCATTGTTATTAGTTTTTTTAATTTTATTTATCCATTTAACGTTTATTTTTAAAGGACTCGTTAGTTTGGGTCGGCGAACCCCCAGGTGGTCCGCAGACTACAGTTTGGGAAGCCTCTCTATTCTATTAATTTGTTGATATTAAAATTCATGAAATGTGGAATTGGTTCCAAATAATCATAAGCTTATTTTAAAACACGTTTCCGAGAAGAATTTTTTTTTTCTCCAGACGATAAGATGTGTATTACAAATCACGCCAGTCAATTTAGAACCGTTTTGTTCGGAAATTATGATCATGAAACGCGTGAATATGATAATCCGGGTCTCGTGTCAGTATGTGTTGGCGTGCTTTGTGGCCTGGGCACGCCACGTACTGGCTTGTACCATCTTCATCGTACCTTCCCGTATTTCATTACGGCCGGGACAAGCTAATCTGGGAGACTCGGGACTTCAAAAGTCCTCTTCGATCTCCGGCGAGGGGGAGCACTTACGAGCAAAGGAGGAAACTCTTGCGAGAGTCGACGGTCGTACGAAGAATGGCACAACGGTTATAAAACGGTTAAATCAAAACAAATACATTTTAATTTATTCAATAATTTTTTATTAAAGCAAATTTTTATAAGAGTTGAAACAGCTTAATCCTGTATAAAGGTTGTCAGGTAGAGCAGGGTTTTAGGTGGTTGAAAATGTTATATTTCGGGATTATTTTAAATATGTTTTGGACACTACATTTGACACAAATTTAAGCAAAAAAAAAGAGGAATATCCAAGGATTGATGATTTGTTTCCAGTTAAAAACAACATCAACATAAAAAGGTCATTTATAGCGACAATTTAAGATTTGTTATTGATGGCAACAATAATTTGAGGACCTGTGATTGGTCAATGGCAGCAATATTTGAATGTTTGTTCAGAGTTAATAATAACAACAATTTTAGACTGGTTATTAAGATTTAATGGCTGCAATACTTTAGGATTTGTAGTTATGATTTTATGACGGAAACAACTTAGATCTTTATGTTAAGAGTTAATGAGTTAATGGCAAGAAAAAATGAAGATTTAATCAAAGATAACAGCAGCAACAATTAGGACTTGTTTTTAAGAATAAAAAGCAACAATAATTAAACGTTTTTTTATAGTTAATAATAACAACAATTTTAGACTGGTTATTAAAATCTAACGGCTGCAATACTTTAGGATTTGTAGTGATGATTTTATGACGGAACTTAGAACTTTCTGTTAAGAGTTGATGAGTCAATGGAAAGAAAAATTGAAGATTTATTCAAAGTTAACAGCAAAAACAATTAGGACTTGTTTTTAAGAGTAAAAAGCAACAATAATTGAACTTTTTTTTAGAGTTAATAATAACAACAATGCTTAGTGGTGTGATTCACCAAATTACTTCTTTCAATTAATTATTCTTTTTACGTAAGATCTTGTTTGAAATGAAAAAGCTCGTGTCAAGAGCGGGATTCGAACCCACGACCTTCGGCTCAATACGCCGCTGCTCTAACCACTTGAGCTATCGCGACTTCCATCCACTCGGACACTAACTTCTCATCTCAAACTACAACCTTTCGAATTTTCCCTCCTTTTTGCCATTTTTCACATTCGAAATTTTATCTTTTGCGAATTTATGAGAAATAATTATAGACTGAGAAAAAATTGCATTGACTGGAATATTCTGTAATACAAATTCTAAACGTCTACTACGTAAACTGTTGGAACAGTAATTTTTCCTTAATAAGAGTGTACAATAACATATTTCCAAATAGA